GTAGGTCACAGTGTGTGTGTGTGTGTGTGTGTGTGTGTGTGTGTGTGTTCACTACACAACTGTTTCTCTCAGTGTTTATCGGCACACAAACACACAGGTACGAACCAGCAGCTGTTGTCCGTAAACAAACACGTGATCTTTAGCGATGTCCACCCGATCCCACGCCAGCGTCAGGACCAGCTGATCGAAGGCCGACGCGTTCGTGCCTGTGAACACACACACACACACACACACACACACACACGAGATGTAAAGTTTAGACTTTGAAAAAGTGTTTCTCCTCAAACTGCAGTAAACGTTTGAACAACTGAACGTGTTTAACCTGCTGAAAGACAAAACCATCATTCTGTCATCTCTGACTCTCCTGTGTGTGTGTGTGTGTGTGTGAGTATATATATATCAGTTTCTATGGTTTTACTTGGCAGTAGACATGTGCCGGTATTCGGTAATGCGATATATCACGATAATGACCATGCACGATATTGTTATCGTGGGCACTTCAAAATACCGTGAATAATTATTTATTACAAATTATTCAGATTTTAGAATGCATTTTAAGAATACTTTTCCCATCAACTGGTCACAATGCACAACACCGCTGCGCACTCATGTAAACACGCCCGGATGAGAAGCGCGAGGCGCTGAATAAAGCGCACTTTCACTCTCTGACAGCAGAAATGCAGCCGTTACCCCGGAAACAAAGCAGCTGCAGCGCTACTTTCTGAAACCTATTTAAATGGTTTAAACAGCCATTCAGATTTGTGTATCGCTATGGTGCTCATCACAGCGACAAATACTGAAATATTTAGACTTAATAGGCCATTTATTTTCAAACTTTAATCTGGACTACAACATGCCCTAGATATTGTTTGAAAGTGTTTTGATTCTTTATTGTTCAGTCACACTTTACATTAAGGCTCCATTAGTTAACATTAGTTAATGCATTAGTTAACAAACTACCAATGAAAAATTATTCTAAACATTCATTAATCTTAGTTCATTTCAATATTTAATAACACGTTGTTATAATCAAAAGTTGCTACTGTGTTATTTAATGAACTCGAGCTAACATGAACTAAGAGTTGTATTTTTTAACAAAGATTAATAACGTCTGTAGCAAATGTAGCTATTGCTCAATGTTAATGTTAGTGCATTAACTAAGGTTGTCTAATGAGGTCTTATTGTAAAGTGTTACCGATTGGTCTTTATAATTCTTTTGCACTTTAATCTGTGTGAAATTATTTACTTTATTTATTGTATTTAAATATTAATGTATGAAATATTTAATGTATTCACTAATTTATTGTATTTAAATGTTCAGTTTCTTTTTGTTATAAGAAAAACCTTATTAAACCTGTTATACTTTATTATGGCAACACTTTTTTGCAACTAAATTTCAGTATCGTGATAATACCGTATATAGTGATAAAAGCATTAGCAATTAATCGCAACATGAGAATCTGATACCGTCACATGCCTACTTGGCAGATACAGATTCATCATTCAACATAATAAATATAAACATTTTATAAAATTCAGCTTAGAAAAAAAAAAACTGCATTCTATATGTACAATTCTATAAGAAGATTCTTTAAATGTAAATGACATAGTAAAAGTTTTTCTGGGTCCATCTTACAGAACAAAGAAAAATCATATGTTTGTGTGCGATGAGGTTCAGGAGATGATGGTCTGATTCAGTTAATTTGCAGCAGAAACGCCTGCGTCACACACACACACACACACACACACACACACACT